GAACCGAACACACACACACACACACACACACACACACACACACACACACACACACACACACACACACACACAAAATAAACAATAAACATAAATAAAAAGGAGGGGGTCAATTCATTTTGTTTTACTACCAGAAAAAATATTATTGTATTTATTTATTTTTGTTTATGTTAAATGTTATTTGTGTTATTTATGTTTTTGTTTATGTTGTGCCAATATGTCAATAAATTGGCATTTTATTGACAAGTCTGCTCAACAAAAAAAGATGCTTGTTGAAAAAACCTAAACAACTTAGAGGATTTAAGCAAAAAAAAAACAAGAAAGAAATTTAAAAAAGGGATGCATTTACATGTGGGGGAAAGTATTTTTGGGATTCTTAAGGACAGTTAAGGTGCTTGTACTTAAGGTTTGTTTGTGAACATACACTAAAACACAACATCAGATGAAATGATAAGGGCCTTACTGTGGTTCCTCCTTTCTAACCTCAAATAAGGGGCCTTGTGTTTCAAAATCTAGTGTTCTTGTTTGTGCTCCTTATATGTTGTATATTGCTAAATCTATGTTTACTCATGTGACCATGCAGCAGCCTAAATTTGAGGCTATTGTATTCAGTGTTTTTTGCACATTGCAGGTTGACAGGTTGGTGAAAGGACAAGTGTGTGAGATTTAGTGACATCGTGTGGTTTAGTTGCAACCATTTAAATACAGCTCACCCTTTCAAGCTTGCAGGAGAAGCTGCAGTGGTCTAATCTAGAGCCAGTGTTTGAGTTTTGTCCATTCTGGGGAGGAGAGGACCCGCTCCCGAGAGAAAATCAGCTCATTCTTGGGTAACAAAAAACAACTATTCTTATTTTTCAGGTGCTCGCAACACTAATGTGTATTTCTGCTAATAGATCCTCATACACACTGAAAGCTTTACAGGGCCCAGCAGAGGCAGGAAGAACCTCGCTTCTCACTGCAAGCGCAGCATGTTTGAAGGAAACCCAACCCAGAAAAAAAAGTAACACCTTTAACAGTACACTACCAATTGTTTCAGGTGAACCACATGTTTGACATGTGTTTCAGCAACCCACCACCTTCACTTCCTGTGCAAACAGAGAAAGCTGTCTCTGATACAATTTTTTTTTTTTTTTGCCTTTTCCTGTACTAAGCACCCATGAGACCTTTTTTTTCTTCTGGTTTTGAAATAGTTGCTATAATCACCTGCTTGTGTGATCAAGTTCTGTCATGGAGGACCAGAGCAGACATAATACGTGTTATCAACTACATCTGGTGCCAATTAACATGGTACAGGCCTAACCTTTAACCCCACGGACTCACAGTTGGGTCTGTCTGTGCAGACCTTTCTAGTGGAGATCCAAAAATGTGCAAAGATACCAAATATATCAGTCCGAATCTATTATCTAGTCTATAAAACCTCAAGAATATTTCCATTTGATGGGATGTTGATGCCATATAATACATGGAGTCTTAGTCATATAGAGCTGATACAGAATACCCAATATATACCGTATAATACTGTAAGAAAATGTGCAGTAAGATCATTTAACAACCTTTAAAGCTACTTTATTTCAGAAGTAAAATCAAATCTATACAGTACATTAAAGTATCTTAAAATATCCCTTTTAAATTCAACATGGTAAAATAAATTGAACAAGTAGATAAGCAAAGACATGTTGTAATTCAATGGTCTCTTAATGCAGTTGAGTGGAAAATCAGAAGCATAAAGATACATGGGAAATAATCAGTATCGATACATTAAACAAAATCACTGTTGTCCCAAACTAGACACACATATGTTGACTCAAAGACTATTTTCTCTTTAGAGTAAAGCAGCGAAGGGACTCAGAGCTGATGGTCAACCTCCCACATTTAGCCTCTGTAATCACAGTAAAATGTGTGACAAGACTGGAGCAGCTGATTCAGATGCATGCCCAGATGACACATGCACTCACCATCTCCATTACAACTTCTTTACATCACCGCACAATCATCCTGCCGCATACCTCCGATAATCCGTTCAGGGAGAGTTTAATGACTATCCGTTTCACACACATTCATAACAGAGAAAAAAACTCAACAACCACAACCACAGCCTCTGATGACCACTGCTTTCTTTAAGGACACATCAGAGGGAAATTCCACAGCACAGGACAGTGTTTGCTGTGTACTTTCTACTTTCTATTTTCACATTATGGTCAGTAGTAGGTCCACATCTTTATAAACAAACGTATCTCTGATTGTATCTAATGCATATCATAGCCATATAAACCCTATAAGGGACAAAAATGAGCTTCAGCCTTCTATTTACCACCTGTTTGTTTCACTTTTGTTTAATGCAAATGTATTTAAAGGAATATGTACTGTGTAAGTTTTAACACAGAGGCTCTATAAGACAAGTAGACCATGCCTTATAGGCACCACTTCCTTTAGATACACAGTGAATAGTGCCCAGTTGATAATCCAACCTTAATGCCACAAAATATTGAGCACTGAAAGCCCTTATGTTCACTGTGCAGCAAAGGTGAGTTGTGGAAAGGAAATATGGTGTTGTTTGTTTATGCACATTTACAACTGAGGCATTGCACTGTGTTTGCATTACCTTGTGCCACATATCTAATGCTCTAAATGATTAATAGCACAAATTATAAGAGTTGTTCTTCAAGTGCTGCTTCATAAACTACCACATTTAACCTGACTCCACAGATTGAGCAACATACGGCATACAGACGGTTGATAAGTCATTGCTGCAGTCTAACGGCAACACAGAAATGAGACAGCATATAAAAGCAACTGCAGACACTGAAGCCAGCAGAGTACGGGAAGGCGGTACAGAAACCAACTTCTGGGCAGGAACCTGACCTTAAACGAAACCACATAACTGAAGTTCACATGAGATCAGACTGAGTTGAGCTGAGCTGAATGTTCAGCTCATAAAACATATTCTCTGAGCTGAGGCAGACATGTTTTATGAGAAATAATCCATTTAGTGTGTGTCTTGGACTCATGTTGCTGTTTTATATTGTTTCAAGAGGCAATTCTGCCACCCTGTGGTCAAAGCGTGATATGGCAGACAGTAAATATGATATGAATGTCAACCCACCTTTAAGACCTGAGTCTGAGATTTTGTTCATGTCAGAGGATTTCAACCTTTCCTCTTTATCCTTAGTTGTGTCCCTGTCTCAGACTTCATAATTGTATAAGTATGTAGTGAGCTCACCCTTTCAAAGTACACTCAATAAGTATATAAGCAGAGTTTTTGAGTGTACTTTACTTTTGATATACTTTATAGACCCATAATGCATTGCACAAAGGTATCCGAGGAGGAATTGTGAATAGTGGCAAACATTTTTGCAAACACAGTTGGCACCACAAGGTCCATTCGTAGCTGCTCTGGAGCTTTCGTCACAGTCTTCCCCGGCACATCGAAGTTTCCCCAGCTGTCGTGGAATTGGCCTTGGAAACAGCAGCTGACAAACAGCCTCATTACAAGGTCTGTACTTAAACTTAATCTTTTAAGGATCAGACAGAAGGAAATGGAGTCTTCTAAATTTCAAAGCACCATGTTTTCCCCCGTACTTTTTAGTGCTATGCAGTAGTTTGGGGTTTTATTTTCCCAGGGTTTTGAGATAAAATATCTGCTTCCACCCCAAAACGATGAAGATGACACATCACTGATAAATCACATTATATTACAAATTATAATATTTAAATGTCCTCATTTCTCAGAGTCAGTCAAATAACATGCTACATTCACTGGGTTTCTTCAATAAACTGTATGAAATCTAACAAAAATCAAACCAAAGTATCTGTTACTAGATACCAGTGGAGGGTTGTACTTTGGACAAACTTTAAAACAAACCATTCTTTCTGATATAGGAAAGAAACAGTAAAGCAGCTTTTACTTAAAACATTTATTTGATCCAATTCTTTGGAATGTAATAGTTAATGATCAGAGTCTGAGACAACAGAGACGGATGAGTCTGGGTGCTGACCAGAAAGTCAAAGTACAAACAATACTTTTAGTCACTTAAGGCCTCACTGCTTTTCCATTTTTTTACTTCCTTATTTCCTTTCTTGTTTTTTTTCTGGATCTGAGACAGCAAAAATTACAGAAGCAGTATTGAAAATAAAACACTTTTTTTTCTTGTCATACAAAGAAAAATAAAAAATAAAAACAATGGCACGTACATCAGTGACAAAAACACAAGGTGATATTATACCAAGTAAATAAAATTGTTACGTTTTCAAAGAGACGCATATAAGCTTTTTCGAGAATGAAAAACATCTCTGTAAGTTGTACTTTTCAGAATTATAACATTGTCATCTGAAATCGTGTTAAAAAGAAGCAACAATAACACTGTCTTCTCCTTCCTTCTTTCTCTCTTTTCATAAATCAACATCATAAACACAGATTTTTTTTTTTTAAATATATCAGTGCAACATTTGTTTTCACATCTAGTGCTGCAGCATCCTTTCTTGTTTAAAGGGGAAGGATTGACGTCCGACTGAAACATCAGAAGCACATTCTGTCAGATTGAAATTACATTTTGTGACACCCATAATCTCGTCTGCTTCGTTTGCTGTAAACATATTGATATTTTCCAGAAAAAAAACAGAGACCGATGCACCAGTGTGATTTTCAAAAGCTAATAATCTCAACAGTTAGAGCACCTTAATTGGATTGGAAATGTTCAGTCAGTCTTTGCTGAAACAATGATTTGATTTAAACAGAGCCAGCTGAGGAGGTTGATTTCCTTTACAACAAAAAACGGGGAAACTTGATGTCTCTAAAGCCTGATCTTAAAAGGAAACAATTGATCCTATATTGACTACTGACTAAAAGTCTCACTTCACATTTGGAGCTCACACAATGTCACATAATGCTACATTATAAATGGTCAGGTTTAACTTCCACAGTGCACTGCAACAGGAATTACACTGGAACAAACATTGTAGTTCTTCCAGTTGCCAGTGGCAATATGTCAAACTATCATACCTGCTTTTTTTTCCAATGGCTTTTGAATCTTTGTAAGTTAAGTATCTGTCTTGCCCAGCATACAATAACTTGTTAATTATCACAGAGTGAACATAAAACATCTGCTGGAGGTTATTCACTGATACCAGTGAGCTAGTGATCTGTGACATTTCTGGTTTTCGAGACTCAATCCTCCCATCTATACAGTGCTATGAACAAGTGACCAGTATCACAACACATTTAGCTACAAAAGCTAAAACACAACAAAGCAGTATTATTAGTACAGTATTTATAAGGCTTGTCGTTTTCAGTCAATTCTTTCACTAAAAAATACCCAGGTTTTAAAAAAAAAAAATGTCCTCACAGAGTGGGACAGAGTTGATAAGAGGGCACTGATCACTGTAGATTGCAGGGTATATGAGCCTTTTGTGATGTTGACAGCTAAGATAATGCTCCTGCAAAGAGAGAGTGATGAGTAAAACAGGGATGAAATACAAATCGAGCTGCTGCAGAAACCCACGGAAAAAAGCGAAGAAACAAAAAACAACAGAGTGCTGTCCGGGGAAATTTTAAAATCCAATTTTCAGAGGTTTAAAAATAAACTAGAAGAAGATAATGAGCCCTATGGGTTTATGGGACATTTTGTTGGGTCTCTGCTCTGATTAGCTGGTAAAACTCATCTCTGTATGAAAATGTGACTTAATTGTGTGTGTTATTCCCAGACTACTCGATCAGATCATTTAGTCACCTGTTGGGGTCATTTTTTGCTCCATTCAAATATTTCTCCTTTGATAGTCAACACAGGAAATACACTGACAGAGAGAACAGCATTGTCATGGCAAACATTAGTTCTTGCTTTATCACTCAAGACATTCAGAGCCTGCACATGCTGTCAGCTCAATAAAAGACGCTGATGGACCCGGAGAGAGACACTCAGAGTCTTTCTGATGGACTGCTGGACACACTTCTGGTTTAATGTTTCACAGTCATTGTGTTAGCAGAAATATAAAGTATCTCAATCCCGACGGTCCATCCTTGACGTGCTGTCGTCATCTTAGCGGTACTGAGGTGGTTTGTTTTACCCTGTACAAAAACATCCTTCCGTCTTCTCAAGCCATTTCCATCGTTCTTCCCAGAGCACAAACAGAAACCAGGCGACGACAAAACTGACAAAATGGCGACCAGCTCACACATGTAAAGGAAACACAAACAACACTATTTGTGCCTCTGTCTGTTAAAACTAGTAGTTTCTGTACATTTTCTGAATTTTGGAGTTTAGGGCGAGCTTGATTCCAACAACATAGAAAGGATACTGCGGCACTGGTGTCTTTTTCTATAGAAAAGGGCGCTCAAATATATTAAAACCTATGTACAATATGTTGGATGTGTCATGTGCCATGAAAATGAGGCATTCAGGGCTCCTACACATTCTCCATTCTGAAATCTCAAAGCTTTCCCAAACCTAAACGTTAACTGCTTCCCTTGGACTTCAACATTTTAATAAGTACAACTGTCATCAAGGCAAGAAGATCTTCAGATCTACACCAGCACGTGTGATATTTGACAGTACACTACAAGACTGCAGTCGTATAAAATTAGTTTTCCGGATCTGTCCACGTGTCTGTGTAGGAACCCTGGACGGAACGCCAGCCGATGAGAAAAACAACCAGCAGAAAACAAGGCAACAGAAAAGTTGGAGGAAAAGAAAAAGGCACTGTCGGAACTAGACACAGGTCACGATGGTACCCGCCTTCACACATAAACACACACACACACACACACACACACACACACACACACACACACACACACACACACACATACACACAGAAAGATGCTTGCACTTCATGTTTACAGGTAACATGAGCACACATACACGCACACACCTAGACACATACACACCTTAAATGCAGATGTATATGAATGAACACACACACACACACACACACACACACACACACACACACACACACACACACACACACTCATACACACTCACTCACAGGGACATATGGCCAGCTAACGAGCCAGATATCAGAATAGTGATTTTCACATACTCCGCTCTTTCTGTGAAACTGTGACATTTGAAAAAAGACAACAAAAACAAAACAAAAACAAAAACAAAGAAAAATCAAATCTTATCTTTCCATAAAAGTACACAAACGATACTTTCATCTGAATTGGTCTCAACACCAGCATGTGATTACATGAAATCAACAAAGCACGCCAAAAAACAAATAGAATCCTTAGTTTTCTTCTTTTTTTTTTTGCTGTACAGATTCTTTATACACAGTGCCCCCTACAGGTCAGTCCCTTCCACTGCCGCTCCTGAGAAAAAAAATTACATTGGCTCACTATCAGCCCACCCTGCCGTCCCATTGGTGGCCTCAGCCCTATGTTTCTCCCGCTTGATTGGCTGCATCACGTGTCCATGCGGAGCAATCGCGGCTCCGTCTCTCTTTGCCCCTCACGCTTCTGAATAGTTAGTCTGTCCATTCATCTTGTCCTTCTTTAGCTTCACACCATCCACCAGCTCAAAGTTATAGTTTTCCAGGGCGGATAAGTTCCTGTCCGTCATGCTGCCCTGCGAGCAGGCGCAGTACAGGACAACGCCGCAGATGGCGCCCAGGAAGACGCCCAGCGCTGACATGGCGATGATGGTGATGAGGATGGGGTCCAGGGTCTTCAGCATGTTGCCGGGGCCGCCGAGTTCGCTGGTCTCCTGCGAGAGGGAGTCCATCGCTGCAAGAGAGAGAGAGAAAAAGTTTGTGATTGCAGGCTTAAAAGGACCATACTGGTGGTTCTGCATGTTCTGGATCATAAAGTATAAAAGGCAGCTTCCAGAAATGACAAAACATTTTCCTTTCATCACATTTAAGTTCCTTTTTTCCTTGGTTTACTTTCCCCACTTGTGAATGTTTTTGCCAGCAAAATGTGAATGTCAGAGCTTCTGTGAACAAAACAACAGCCTTCAACACAGATTCTCCTGCTTGAATAAAACAGGTTAAGGTGGTAAATGTTTATTGCAATGGACTATCTATCTTTCTCAAGAAAGCTTCAAGTCTGTTCAAGTTAAAATGAGTATTGAAACGTGTGGAAATAAGCGGAAACGACCGGCTGCCTAGAAGACAGGAAATCAATTCAAACACACTTTGAAAAACTGATCAGGAGTGGTATCAAGTTGATATAGTTAATTTCCTAAAACATGGAAATTCACTGATGTGGTACTTTAAGATGTCAAAAAACACTTCTGCTACAAACAGTATAAACATTTTTACTTTTCTGGAGGCGACAGACAAGATTTTTCATGGAAAAAAGAAAAGAAACTTGTAGAAGGTGAACAGAAGTGTGATCCTTCAACTAGAAAATGTCTGACTTCTGTGCACACAACACAGCTGAGGACTAGTCTTAGCAATTCTACCATACTGTGGAGGCAAAGAAAGTCTGTGGAGATGTGTCCACAAACACACTGTAATGGCACAATTAGAGTCAGGAAGGTACTTACGTAGGATGAAGATCTCAGTTGGCGGAGATGTAGGAGCTTCTGGGTCTGGAGGACAAAAAAAAGAAAAGATTTAGATTAAAGCATAGCGACTGTAGATGACACAGAACTAGTATAAAATGTATAAATGTACCATTGTGACCTTTAATAAACAAGTTAAAACAATAAGTACATACCTTTGCACTCCTCAGGATGGAGTCCATCCAGGATCTGGATATTGTCCACAGCTATGTGACCTGCACTGCGTTTGTCTGCAACGCCTTCCACAATCACCTACGAATAACAACATGTGGTCAGTCTCAGCAAAACCAATCAACTCTCCACCCAAACTATATCTTTAAAAGTTGTATTTCCCTTCCTAGCCCACCCCTGCTGGTTTCACAGTTGGTTTTAAATCAGTCTTTCCCCTCCTTTAGGACATGACCCACCAAGAGGTTGCAAGATAAATATCAAAGATCATGATAATTTTGCTATACAAAAGTCTGTTTATTTTCCTGAAAGATCCAGTATGTAGGATTTAGTGACATCTAGTGGTGTAGTTGCAGATTGCAACTCACTCATTCACTCAAATGTTACACACTGGACCTTTAAGTATCCTCTTGTTGAACATATGAACAGCTTTACTTTCTCTGACCTCTCGTATTTGTTAAAATGAAACAATATGAGAAAAGAAAATCGCTATTTGGTTGCAAGAGTGGGCACCAACCATGAACTGCACCACTCCTGGTTTGAGCACAAAGTGCTTTATGTTAAAACACATAAAACCAATTCCAGCTTATCCCAGCATGCACTGTGCCAGAGGCAGGGAACGCCCAAAAAAAGTCACAGGGAAAATTAGTTTCCTGTTCTGCATTTCCAACTAACAAGCATGTTATTCTACTGGGGGAGGAAACTGGACCACCCAAAGTCCAGCCTAGACCTTCTTGCTGCAAGGTGCACAGTGCTTTTTATATTTTTATAACAATTCTCCTGGTTCTGCTGTCTCTCTCTTTAAAGCCTGTGGGGGCTTTACAGGTTTTGTTTATGTCATTTTTATGTTCGATAACAGCACATCAACATGATGTGAGACAAAAACTGCCCAAATGGACAATGGAAGAATCTTTTTAGGACAAAAAAATGAAAATAAATGAATCAAAACCAGATTAAAACCTCATATGTTGCAGTTACACGATAACAGATATCATTTTATGTACACATGTAATGTCTGACACATCCAGGAGTGTGTGTTACCTGATATGAGACACTGGAGTGTGGCAGTAAAACTCGTCCCTCCCTCCACCGGCTGCCCTGGTGACCGCTGACCGTCCACAGGATCTGCCCCGGCTTCGCCTGCTTCCTCTGCTTGATGTGAAGAGCTCCTGCGTGTTCACCAAACATGTGATACCAGAAGGACATGCACAGGTCGATGTCTGTGGCGGTGATGGGCAGGCTGACCAAGCTCGCCACCTTCTCCTCTTTATCATCATCTTCGCCGGTCTTACTCGACACGTCTGTGTCACTCAGCTGCATGTAGATGAAGTTCCCCGGTCCGCCTGCAGGGGGCAGCAAAAGACAATGTAAGAAGTTGCTTTGAAGGGCTCCTGACAGCGTAGAAACACACTACTGTAGATATGATGACTCTTTTAAATA